GGGGGGGGGGGGGTGGGCGGGGACGGGCAGGGGGAAGATGTGCTGTAAGCCTGACAGAAGGGTACATCTCGATCTTGGTTACACCGTGCTCCAAACCTTTTAAGAAGTTGTTGGGAACCTCAAACGCATGCCCACTTTTTTAAGTTTCTGGGGTGCCTGTGGAGGTCCCCACTCCCTAGCTACAGGCACTGCTTTACAGTGTGGCCATGGGCAGCTGGGCAATCAGGAGCTCCCACCTCCCAACTACAGGCATCACTTCATGGTGGGGGAATGGGCTACCAAGAAGCCAGGAGTTCCCAGCTCCCCAGCTGCCTGTGCCCTGCACCATGAATCCCTGGGCTGTAGCTGTTCTTTTTAAGAAAACTCCCCAGATCAGACAGCAGGCAGATGCTCGCTGGTCTCTAGCTTCTGGTACCCAGGGAGTTTTAAAGACTGTGCTGAAGCAGCTTCCTCAGGCTTCCCCACTGGGAACTCAAAACTAGTGCCAGAGCTGCTGGGTATTGGGTTTTGACGATTCTCGGCCTGGTTGAACAGCCCTGGTCTCAAACCAAACCTGGGATTGTCCCAGCTGGGGCTAACAATCAGTTGACTATCAGCTCCATCCCTAGACCACTCCAGAGATGGTTCAAGTCCCCAATGTGGTCCCAGGGGCTGGAGATGACAATCGGTTGACTGCTGGCCCTGGCTGGATGTGCTGATACTCCTCCTTCAACTTGCTGGTGCAGGGGGAGCCCAAGTTATGATCTTGAGCTTCCTCTGCCCTAGCAAGTAGTAATGACACAATGGCACTTAATCCCTGATTCCAACCATCATGCCTTCTGCCATGCATATATGGCATGGCAGGAGGCATGACTGTTGGAATTGGGGATCAGATGACTGTTGCGATTGGGGATCAGATCCCATGGCAACATGAAATGAATGTGCGCCAAGGGCTTTCAGCACCTCGATACCTTTGAAAATAATTTTAATCAGTTAGGCCTTCTTTGCACCTAAACTTGTACTGATTAAAATAACTCAGTTTAGAAGTCTATTTAGTTAAGTTGGATCAACTTTTGTATCAAGCCAAAAGTTACATTAAAAAGGTGTTGGACTGATGAGGGATGAAAGACTGCAATGGAAGTGGGAAATACTGATGAAGCTGCTGGTGGTAAATTGACTTGTCTGGGTGTATCTATATGTGTGCTCTAATGTGCTGTAGCCTATTTTACTGTGCATTAAAGCATCATGTAAAAAACCACACTATTAGGCTAGTGCACAGAAAGATAGGCTATTGCACATTAAGCATCATTTAAAAACCCTGCACATGCATTACTGTGCATTAAGGCAGCTTAATGCACATTTTAGTACCTCACCTTGGAGGTACTAAATTTAATGCACATTAGATAAAGGGCCTTAATGCATGTGTAGATCTGCCCACTGACAAGTAGCCTTATTCAAAAAATACTGTTCAGTGTCCCTGAAAGAAGAGCCAACCAGCAATCTTTTCCTCCTGTCAGGGTTAAAATGTCCACAATCCCATATAAATACTATGTGAGTCAGTCCTCATATGCTGCACAGCCTTGTTACTTTTATTTTCAGCATTTAAAGTCCCATTGCAGATCAGTATCAAGGGGAAGAAGCAGATTCAAGTCTGATATTCTGTGTGATAAAGGCATGTTGTTGGAATGTGAGAGAATGCACAGTGTGAAAAGTGGCTGACATGACAAACAAAATAGGAAATACGTTGAGACCAGACATGAATCTAAATGCAAGGCTCTCTTTTAGAGAATTGCAGAAGGTATCTGGGTGGATGTTTGCTGAAATGTTATATCCTTAAGAAGAGTGCTATCAGTACAGGTTAGAGCAAAATATGGACACAGCACCTGATGCCGTGTAAATTTTTCTATACAGTTTTGCAAATATACATCAGCTTTGACTTACAGAATTCTCTGAGCAAAACAGGGCTATTATGTCCAACTGGATGTTCACTAAATAAAGAGATGAATGTAATCATAATGTCTATTACTAGACACAGATATGAAAAAATGAAGCTCTAAGAAACAGCCCTTCACCCTTTATGTCCTACAACAATTTTATTAACATGAGATTGTCTGTTCGTTAAAGGATACACTGAGCATCACACTGCAAGATGGAGTCATCTGGATGGTTTGGGTGCTGCATCGCAATAGCTTGTGGGAATTCACTCAGCATCCTCTGCTGGAAGGCCTCCAGCCTTTCGTAGTCGTGGCCTCGACATACATACTCTTTATTCTGCAACAAAGACAGGCATGAAAGCCACTTTCCCCTAAACTGATCTCTTTGCCTTATACTATTTAACTGGAATATTCCTCCTTAATAGATAGTAACAGAATGTATTTTATCTTTGATTTTATTATACTGAAAATAAAAATAAACATAAATGACAAAACTCTGAAACATCTTAAAAATGATGCAATTAGCTATTCATTATTACTTTTAGTTATTCATACTTTTAACATCTATCTTTAATATTAATGGGATCAAGCACAGGAATCAACAACCCATTCTTCAAGATTTGCTTACTGATGGCACATAGAGCAAAAGCAATTATTAAGAGTAATTACGAGAAGTAATGCAAGCTTTGCTAATATTCTAGTTTCCTTATTTATCCCATTAAGATATAAAGCAATTAAAGCAGGTCAAAATATGATTTAAATTCTTTTATCCAAATTGACAAAGTAAGAGAAACAGCCATTATCCAGCATTTAGGATATGTTTTTTTGCAAGCAAAATTGAGTTTTTTACGGTATTTAAAAATAAATATAGATAATGTTCTTAATTCTATTCCTTAATTCTATTCCCATAAAGTAAATGACATATTATTGACTTGACTTGAAGAGATTGGGATCTGGTCCAATCTTCCTGCTACATCCACACTAAAAGTATGTCCTCATTTTTATTTTGACTCAGATATACAGAAAAATTCCAATCAGGGAACAATTCCTGAGGCAATGTGCTGTCACTATTCTTTTATTCCATACTTCAGAAAGGCTACTTGTATTTTATGTGCAGGTATAAAGCAACAGAGCACTGCCGATGAACTAAAGCATAAATAACTTAATTTAATTACACTATATTTTTTTTCAAATTAAAGTAGAAGGATATGCCCAGGGTCAAGGAGATACTTAGATCCCACTCCTATAGCATATTTGAGTAAAATGATTTTTAAGACAACTGTAAATTCTACAAATAAGCTACTGAGATTTCCACCAAGTTAGGAGTGACCCTTCCAAATTATGCTTTTCAAATAAGAAGCAGTTTGACCTTGCTAATATAGACTGCCAAACTATCTAAAATCTTGTTCTCATCCCACAGCCTGAATCTGTGCACTCAGATGCATGCACTGGGAATCATAAAGGAATTATCCATTGGAGAGTGGCTCTTCAGCTGTTTCTGCATGGAAGGGAATTTAATTTCTGCCCCAAATCCCCACTTTACACTATTAAGTTCAGGTACTTGTTCAGAAGCAGACTTGCTGAATTCTGCTACTCTGGCAGCAGCATTTCACTGGTACCACTGCAGCCAAAGCCCACTTCACCCATGCACATCAACGTACAAGCATGGGGACACAGCATGATGCGTCTCAGAATTAATACTGAGTTGTGACTTTGAGGGGAAAAACCTGGCAATGAGTCTAACTCTTAAATGTGGTATTAACATACAGGTTACTGTTAGAAAAGTGCTCCATTACTGTAAAGTTAGGAAAATGTTATGATAAACAGAACAAGGTGTTGAGGGCCTGTTAAGATAAAGCAATTCCTTTACTCTCTATAGAAAGTAATCGATCTGAGATATGATGAGTTAGGACTGTCCAGTTGTAGAATTTCCAGACTGTTACGTAAAGGCTGGCAATATCTTTAGATCTGTTAAAACTCTTGAACTAATTTAATATCTCCTTCCTTGTCATAAGAAAAAAATGTAGATATCATAGAGCTCTTTTTCTAAAACCAGCTGGGCAATAAGATTAGTTGAATCTGAAGTCAATCAGTATTATAGAAAATATTTTTGTACCAAATTGGCTTTCTGTACAAGAGAAAATGCAGAGTGGGCTAGGGGTGAAATCTGCATTTAACATAGACTGGACAAGACAGGAGGATCTTTTGGCTAGGTACAGACATTCAAAAAGCCTGAGGTGGAACCAATTAAACCTTCAGAGGTTTCTTTAAGCTGCGTAGACTGGATCAGGACTGAACAGAACACATGTTCCTACTTTAGTGGGGAGGGCACACAGATGCCTGCCCTGGTCTCCCAGCCTGCTAGAGACTGCTGAGGGCAGCTAAATGCTGCCAAGCAGCTGGCCACCCCTAACAGGCTGCTGGGCACATGCCCCCAACCAGTCTATGTGCACCAAGCTTCTGTTTTGTTACACGTTTAGACTAGTTTCCAAACACTTATACCAGTTTCTGTGTAATGTATGTACCTAGTCTTTGTTTCTTTCCTTTACATTATATTTCAGCAAGAAGCTTCTCTGATTCAGAGCTAGTAAGATGTGTCTTGTCACAGAAAGGTAGATATTTGGATCCTTCCTTGGACATACTGTCCAGTAATAGACTCACCCCTCACAGTTTAGCTTATTTGTTATTTAGGTGAATGACACTGGACTATATTTATTAAATTATATCTAAGTCAGGGCTGGGCAATTATTTTGGGCGGAGGGCCACATGACAGGCAGCTCAGGGTAGATTAAGCCTAATTTTCTAAATTTTTTAGGGCCCCTGTGGGCCGGATAGAATGGCTTGGCAGGCCACATCTGGCCCACAGGCTGCATTTTACCCACCCCTGATCTAAGTAGAACTGTATACACACAATGATCTCTCAGAATTTGTCAAAGAACTAAAAGGAGGGTCACTTTCGATTGGGAAATTCTTTTGTCTAAAAGGTAATTAACAGAATGGGGATTTTGGCCTGGAACAAAAGATGTTTGTGGAACAATTCAAAAATTGTGTACAGAAAGGGCCCATGACAACCTGTTAACAAAAACACAAAAAGCAGTTTTTACTATAATAAACGATGGTATCTAGACTGGAATTTCTGTATATGAAGAAGCATTGCCATTCACTTACTAGTAGTGTCTGGGAAAGTTAGATTGAATTCTAAGTGGCAGCTTAGCAAATTTTCTCTTTAGCTCAGAAAATGCCATCCCTCTTTTTGAATGAGCTTTGACTCCTAAAGGTCATAGAAATCTTGCAGTCAGATGTCTCCAATAAAGTTATGAATCTACATGACCACCGAGTGTTTGGATCATTTATGACCTTTCTTCTAACCTCTGAACAATGTAAAATGGGAATCTGGCTTATTAAGATCTGAGTCCTATGAAGATTATATTTTAGTGTTTTAATTATATTTCCGTAAACCAAGACTTTGATTGGAATTAAGGTGACTTATCTGAAACACCTGAAAAAGCAAAGAAAATTCCAGCACAGGTAAGCCTTGACACATACATAAACATAGTAACCAAAAGAACTAACCAGCTTTTCACATCCAAAAATTCCCTTGTATTCCCAACATACAAACAATCACAAAATGCTACAGTGTTTGTGGGTGATCTCACTTTTGCTAACTGCTAATTTAACTGATTTCTTTAAAACACCATATTTTCAGTTGCTTATAATTACCAATATTTAACCGTTAGGATTAAAACATATTCCCTTCTGTCTGAAGCACTGAAATGGGACCTAGGAAAGATGGATTCTACCTCTGACTGCCACATACATCTTGTGCTAGCAAAATAAGACCCTCTTTGGCTTGGATATTCATAGATTTCATAGACATTAGGGCTGGAAGGGACCTCGCAAGATCACTGGGTCCAGCACCCTGCCCAAGAAGCAGGAGGTCAGCTGGGGTCAAGTGATCCCAGCAAGATAAGCATCCAAGTGTTTCTTAAAAGTGTCCAGAGTAGGTGCTTGCACCACTTCTGGGTGGAGTCTATTCTAGGCTCTGGGGACTTGGACAGTAAAGAAGATTTTTCTTATGTCCAGCCTAAAATGGTCTTCCTGGAGTTTGTTACCGTTAGATCATGGGGTGCCCTGGTGAACAGATGTTCTCCCAATTCCTGATGTACACCCATTATATACTTATAGGCTGCCACCAAGCCCCCCTGAGCCTTCGCTTCTCCAGGCTGAAGTCCCATACCTCTCAGCCTCTCCTCATAAGGCCTGTTTTCTTGTCCTCTAATCACGTGCATAGCTCTCCTCTAGACTCTCTCAAGCTTCTCCACATCCTTTCTAAAGTGCGGAGCTGAGAACTGGATTCCAGCTGTGGCCTCACCAAGGCCAAGTAAAGTGGGAGAATGACTTCTTGGGTCTTGCTTGAGATGCATCGGAGATACAAACCAGGGTTTTGTTTGCTTTGCCGGCTGTGACATCACACTGGTGCTTCATGTTCATCATGTGGTCAATCAAAATCCCCACATCTCTTTTGGTCATAGTGCTACTGAGTGTAGCACTGCCAAGCCTATAAGTATGATGTGGATTCCCACCCACCCTGAGTTGGAGCACCTTGCATCCCTCTGTGTTGAATGCCATCATGTGTTGATCTGCCCACCTTGAACCTGTCCAAGTCAGCCTGGATCGCCAGCCTATCCTCTAGTGTGGCCACACTTCCCCATAATTTGGTGTCATCAGCAAATTTAGCCAGTCCACTTTTGATACCTGAATCCAGATCGCTTATAAATAAATTACAGAGTACTGGTCCAAGTATGGAGCCCTGGGGGACGCCGCTGGTCACCATGTGCCATGTTGATATGGTTCCATTGACTATCACTCTCTGGGTCCAACCACAAAGCCAGCTGCCAAGCCATTAGATCTTAAGGTTGTCGAGGCTACAGTTCCCCAGTTTAACCATGAGGACTTCATGGAAGACCAAGTCAAAGGCTTTTTTCAAGCCCAAATAAACCTCTTCTCCTTTGTCCAGGTGATGCGTCACCTGGTCATAGAAGGAAATAAAGTTGGTCAGGCAAGACCTACCCATGAGAAAGCCATGTTGGTTATCTTTCAGAATATTGCATTCTGTTAGCTTTTTGTTAATGATTTCTTTGATGATTTTTTCTAATATCTTACCAGGGACTAAGGTCAAACTGATTGGCCTCTAGTTCCCTGGATCTTCCTTCCCTCCTTTCTTGAAGATAGGCACCACACTGGCCCTTTTCCAATGTTCAGGAACCTCTACTGAGCACCACAAGTTCTCAAATATTCTCGCCATTGCCCACGCTATGGTGTCAGCTAGTTCCTTTA